CTGATACGGAGGATGCTGATACAGAGCAGCCGCTGATACGGAGGCTCGTTGATACGGTGTCCGCTGATACGGTGTCCACTGATACGAGCTGGTGGTGATACGGAGGATGCTGATACGGGGGAGCCGGTGATACGAGTCGCTGATACGAGTCGCTGATACGGAGGACGCTTGCTGATACGGTGTCCGCTGATACGAGTTGCTGATACGGAGGATCATGCTGATACAGAGGACAGTCGCTGATACGGAGGATCATGCTGATACGGAGGCTCACTGATACGGAGGACGCTCACTGATACGAGTCGCTGATATGGTGTCCGCTGATACGAGTCGCTGATACCAAGGATGCTGGTGATACGGAGGCTTGCTGATACAGACGCTGATACGGAGGCTCGCTACTGATACGGAGGACGCTGATACGAGTCCCTGATACGAGTCCCTGATACGAGTCCCTGATACGAGCCGGTGATACGAGCCGGTGATACGAGCCGGTGATACGGAGGATGCTGATACGACGAGTCGCTGATACAGAGGATGCTGATACGAGCCACTGATACAGACGCTGATATGGAGGCTCGCTACTTCTGATACGGAGGACGCTGATACGGAGGCTCGCTACTGATACGGAGGACGCTGATACGAGCCGCTGATACGAGCCGCTGATACGAGCTGGTGATACGGAGAATGCTGATACGGAGGCTTGCTGATACGGTGTCCGCTGATACGAGTTGCTATAGTAACTGCTACTAGTACTAACTACTTGTCCTCCCCCTAAGATCTTAGAAAAGTGTTATAATTATATGTTTCTGTTATTGTCAAGAATTACCTTCATCATATGTCTGTTTACTAGGGAAATTGCCTTATGCTTGATGATGGAAGTAATTCTGCTCAACCGACTTAACGGATTTTTTGCTCGTATGTGATGGATTTTGATACTGTGCTGGTCAGTAGGACAATAGCGAAGTGTACGTACGTAGACTTGTACATGATTCTCTACTGTTGCATTTTTTGTTGCATTACGTTCAAATACCCCCACTGTACGAAGTTTCATTGACATACTGTACCGTACAGTACGTACGTAGGAGATACTAGGAGAGCACGTTTGGAACCTTTTTTGATTAGATCACTTCATACTGTACGGTACGGTACGTACGGTAGGTATCGTACGATACTGAAACATGTTTTTTCGATTTTTGACCACTCATCTCAATCGCGGTGGCT